CTTGGTGTCACGGACGTTGGCCCAACAGTTCTCCACGCCCCTACAGGAGGCATGCGCGCCCTACCAGTACGCCCTTTCCACACGGTCGGGTGCTGAGGCGCTTGCGAGAGCTCTCCGCGTGGCCACCGACAGTAGCACATCCACAACCGTTGTCAGTCTGGATGGAGTCGGGGCGTACGACCACATCTCGCGCAGGTGCATGTTTGACGGCCTGTTTGCATCCCCGGCGTTGGCGCCCCTCATCCCTTTGGTCCGCCTTTTCTACGGCGGCGACAGCGAGTATTTGTTTTATGATGCATCGGGCGCTGCTCACTCCGTGCTGCAGTCGGAGGGAGAGCAGGGGGACCCGCTCATGCCCGGTTTATTCGCTGTGGGCATCCACCAGGCGTTGCGGGCCGCGCACTCCTCTTTTGAACCGGGCGAGGACTTGTTTGCGTTCCTGGATGACACGTACATATCCTGCCCCACTGCAGACCGCGCCGCCCCCACATTCAGGGCCTTGCGTGACGCTCTGGCTGCACATGCCAACATCGAAAAAAAAAAAACATCGATGTGCACTTGGGTAAGACGAGGGTTTGGAATTCGGGGGGCGTCGAGCCGGCAGGCTTTGCGGACGAGGACCGCCCGCCCTCGTGGGTGGGCGATTGGACTCTCCCGCCCGAACAGCAAGGCATGGTGGTGCTGGGCACACCGCTCGGGAGCCACGCGTTTGTAGCGGCCCACCTACAATCCAAACTGGATGCCCACAAGACGCTTTTGTCCAAGCTCCCCTCTGTCCCGGATCTGCGGTTGCGTGGTTGTTGCTCCTCATGTGCGCGGCTCCCCGCTGCCATTACTTACTCCGCGCTCTCCCGCCCGGCTACACTGCAGCCTTCGCCCGTCAGCACGATGAGGCAGTCCTCGCATGCTTGCAGGAGTTGCTGGCTAATGACGGGCCGCCGATGTGGGAGGTCAATGCCACTCGCCGGGCTCAGCTTCCGCTGCAGCTGGGCGGTCTGGGCTTGCGCTCCGCCGAGACCACGCGCTTCGCATTGGGCTTCTTGGGCGGATACGCTCCCTACCCTCCGCGACCGGCACCCAGGCATTGTGGCGGACTTGCTCCGCCAGGCTGAAGCCTCCCGCTCGGAAGCACGGACTGGCGGCATTGCGCCAAGTGTATCTGCGGCGCTGCACGCGGAGTCTTGTTTGCGACAGGCGGGGTTTGATGCGCCGTCGTGGCCTCAGTTGCTGGACGACCGCCGCCCCCAGGGCCAGGCGGCTCGCAGCTTTGGTGACCCTCTTCACGGTTGGCAACGGGCGGCCACGGCCTGCCTGGATGCCGCAGCGTGCGACAGCCTCCTTTCTGACCTTGACCCGGCTTCACGCGCGCTGCTGCTGTCCCAGGCGGGCCCTGGCGGATCCCGTGCCCTCACCGTGCTTCCTACCGCCCCGGAGTTCCGCATGCCCTCCGACTGCATGCGCGTCCTGTTGCTTCGGCGATTGCGCCTCCCGTTGCCCCATACACCGGCACGTTGTCGCTGTGGCGGGACTTTGGACGCTCTGGGGGATCACAGGGCTGCGTGCCCCACTGCGGGCGTGTTGGGCCCGCGTGGCGCGCCTTTAGAGAGAGCAGCCGCCAGGGTCTGCCGTGAAGGCGGGGCGCGGGTGGCCACCAATGTTTTCCTGCGCGACATGAACGTCGACGTGCCGCTCGCGGACGCTCGCCGCATCGAGGTGCTGGCGAACGGGCTACCGTTGTGGCAGGGCGCCCAGGCAGCGGTCGACACCACTTTTGTCAGCCCCATTGGCCGGGACGGCGCCGCGCGAGCAGGCGCAGACCGCGTGCCAGGCAAAGCGGCGGCGGACGCCGCGCGCAGGAAACGCCAAGCCACGTATCCGGAACTGTTGGCGGCCCGTAGGTGTCGCTTGGTGGTGCTGGCGGTCGAGGTGGGCGGGCGCTTTGGCTCCGAGATGGCGGATTTCCTCCGCCGTCTGGCCACCTCCAAAGCGCGGGCGGCGCCGCCGTGGCTCCGGGCAGCGGCCCGGCAGGCGGCAGGTCACCGCTGGACAGGTGTGTTGGCTGTCGCAGCGCAGCGGGCTCTCGCCATGTCACTCCTTGAGCTGCCGTTGGACAGGGCAGACGAGTGTGACGGGGCGGAGCCGCCGCTGGCTAATCTGTTGGCGGACGCTCGCCACGTCTACTCCGTGGCCGCCAGCCGCTTGCCGCTGCGCGCCTGAACTGGCGCCTGCAGCTCGACAGTAGCAGCTCCAGCCGAACTGAGACAGATACTGTAGCTGCGAGAAAAAAGGCGTGCGCTAAAAAAAAAAAAAGCGTCAAAGGCGAGAACGACCTCCACGGCGGCCATCGCCAGAACGCTGCTGCGTTGCGGACCGCGACAAGCCAGGGCGGTTCGCGCTTCGTTCCGCATTTGTTGGGAGCGCGACGACAGAGGGCCGGCAAGCAGTCGAACCGAGATGGCGTGTTGTGCAGCACGCTACAGCTCCCAAAATCATTGCATCTTTCCCCACGCAACTTCCTCGCTAAAGAAAAGCCGTAAGATCTGCATGAAGAAGCGCCACGCGTATACATGGGGACCAGGAGTGGGAGAATTTGGATGTCGTCAGCCATGTGGGGAAAAATCCTACCGCAAAGCAAATGGCCAGGAGTAAGTTGCTTGCAGCTCCTTTGTTGTGGGATGTTCTTTGCAGTTGGCACACCCAAATCGCTCGCTGGACCCGGCTAGACTGTTTCGATGAGGTGCAAACCGGTTGGTCCTCGCTTGGGTTTAACAGATGGATGAACCCGTGTACGTGTGCTGAGACGTCCAGCCCGCCCCGTGCTGAGGCGGAGGCGGGGAGGGCAAAGTCGGCTGGAGGTGTTGGGGGAACCTTGCGCCTCAATTTGGCTCTGGTCCCTGGCAGGGCGCACGCCCGAGCACCACAGTGAAAGGAGAAACACAGCGCCCTAGTGGGAAACAAGTGAATAAGATCCAGTTGTGTGTTGGCTGTCATGCAATCATTGCATGATCCTGGAATATTCTTGGGTGTTCACGGTGCATGAGAGCTCATTTTCGAATGTCTTCATCGTAGCATAGTGAGTGGGGGTATGGGTGCCGCGGCAGGCCTTTCATGCATCGGGGAATGAGCGGCATGAACTATGACTGCACAAAGCACACGCGGGCACGCAGGCCGATGGTCCACGCCGCAAGGGAAGCGCGAGGATGAATGTGCCGCGTGCAAGGCATGGCATGATGAAAATCAGGTTTTGACGTACAAGACTATAATGCTACAGAACCTGTCTGGCAGGCTACGCAGAGCAGACCATCGCACCCACCAAATCGTGAACAAATAGGGTGCTTTGGCAGAAGCAAGTCGCACGATGTCGCACGTGCACATGTGTTGCATGCATCTGTGAGGCGAGCCGCTTGGCGATACGTGCACAGCATGGCAAGCAACTTCCCAGAACACCCGTGCACCCTGGATCAGGCCTGTTTGCCACAAGTGTGCATCATGTCGCGCGTTGCTGCTCTGCAGGTGGCGGCCTTGGCATGGTTGCGAGCTTTTCTGCGATTGTATCCGTGCCATCTCTGTGCCGAGGTGGCCTGTGCCGTGTTTTTGCGTGTGAGTGTGTGTGTGTGTGTGTTCATGTGTATGAAAGCACACGCAACCCTGCAGTGCTTGCAGGAGTTTATCCATGTTTGTCGCGACTTGCCGCCCCGTGTGAAGCCAAAGTAAGAGAAAGTTGCAAGCACTTCCGTTGCACGTGGGCGGAGTTGCAGCGAAGCACCGAGGTTTTCAGCGCCGGGAAGATTACGTGTTGTGGTGGTGTGAGGCGGCGGTTGCAAAATTAAGTTTCCGTTGCAACATGCGACGTTTCAGGCTCATAACCGAGTGCGTTCGGATCTGTCGCAGACACCCAGGAGGCATGATTGCAGAAGTTGAAGGGTTCGTGTGAACCACACATTTGTGTTCCGCGCAAGAAGGTGCGACTTCGGGGAGTTGCAGGCTGCCGGCGAGGTGTGGCTCCCAATTGGCGCGAGTTGGGGGGTAGTTGTGACACGTCCGTGGATGGAGGGATCGTATCAGATCGGAGCATTTGGGTTCTCATTGTTGCATGGTCGTGGCCGTGGCTTCCAAGGATCGTCCTTCGCGTTTACAGGTTGAACGAATCGACTTGCCATTGCACGAGCTTCCACTGTGGGCATGGATGGGTAGCTGAGGCAGGGGCCACTCTTGATGAGATGCCGCGTTGTCAACAAGGATTTGAAAATTCAATCTCGGCCACTGTCTAGCTGGGTGTGACAGCATGTGTGTTTGCCGACCGACAACTGCTGACGCTGGCGCGATACACTGGCATGTTGATGCATGATCTTCGCATTGGCTTGAAAGTTCCTCGTGTTCCGATAGGCAAGCAAACCTTTGCAAGAAAGTTTTTGCACGCAGAGTGTCGCAGGGGCCCGCCTCATATCAGTTGTGATCAATTTAGGCTGTCGTGACACCACAACCTGGCGTAGTTCCACAGTGATTGGACGCACTGGCCAGGTTCCGTGTGCATAGCTCAACGTCACACTCCCTTTGCATTTGTGATGGCAGCATGCGGCGTGTTGGTGGCAGTGGCCGGGTCGCAAAGATGGGCTGTCTTAAGCAGCAGAATGTGACACAAACCTGTCAGGCAGCATAGCTTGGGCCGCTTGGATATGGCTAGGGCTCTTTTGTGTCGCTTGGCGGTTGGAGGCCGGTAGCTGAATGGTGCCATTGCCAGAAATGATCATCCCAGTGTGTCAGCGATAGGTCACACTCGGCTTTTGCGGGGCTCAGCTTTCTGGAAGAAGGCCAGCAGCGAGCAACTGACGGTTGCGACCTTGTGCATCTGGCCATCTCCCAATGCAGATCCGAAGCCTGCAGTGAGTAGAGGCCCTTTTTCCCTTGCAGATCCGACGAGGATAGAGACCCTTTTTCCCGAGGTGGGCAAATGCAGTCGCATCCTTACATAGGTTTAAGAAAAGGTGCCCAGCTGAGCCATGGTACCCCTGCGCCTGGTCTTGGCAGTGGCGTTTCCATCACACGCGTGGGGCTTGATTGACGTTCGTCTGAAACCAGCTTCGCGTCCGCTCCCACAAGGCCGTGCAGGATGTTCCATCATGTTTCACGGTGTGTTTGCAGCATCTGTTAGAAGTATCCTGTTAGCAGGGCAAGTGGTCCGGTGGAGCTGGCGGGCGCCTGGCGAAGTCCAGTTCAACATCACCACGAAGGCCAGAGCCTTGGTGCTGCACACTGTTCAGACCATGTGTGAAGATTTTGTCGACACAGGAAAGACACCCGCTGGATTTTTATATGATTTCAGGACGGTTGGAGCTTGCCACTTGCGCTGCTTTAGATGGAGTTCGATTCCCGATTGCTTGTCCAGGACCACCAGGAGAGCTTCGCATTCCACGGCCATGGATTCATGAGGCAAGGTTGCCACCTCTTAGCGCATCATCATGCTTCTTGCAGATGTGTTTGCTTTGGCATAGGTCGAGCCTGCTTGTAAGCAGTGCTTGGACTTCCACTTGCACAAGCTACTGGGAAGGAACGAAACGATGCTGATTGTCAGCAACAAGGAAGAGGGCCCGACTGTTTCTGCAGGAACATAATGGAACATAATGGAACCCAATAGCATCCGTGGCATGGATGCCATCCATGGCAGGCGGGACGATCGGACCTGCAGCTGGAATTCCAGGAGGCTCTGTTCGGCGTTGAGAGCTGCATGGAGGAGTGCTTCTTCAAGCCCACGGAATTTGTGGCTGCTGCATTGGCAGCAGCTTCGCTGCCCGGTGCAGAGCCGTTCGAAGTCGGGTTTGTGTGCCTGTGTGAGTGACCAGCATTCCCTATTCTGATGCAGATGAGGCTGTTGTGCTGCAGCTTCCTCCTCAGCAGACGGTTGGCCCGAGATGAGCGTGAGGGCAGCCGAGACACGCCCTGGGACGAAGCCTGGGCGCCGCGACTGCTGCAGTGCAAGAGACCGCCAAAGCCTGCAGAGGACTGCTAGTCTCCGATTGGTGAGTGTCTGTGTTGCCGCTTGAGCTTTGCTTGGTACACTGTTGTTGCCATCTGGAGTCGTGGAGCGCGTGGATTCTTCACGCCTGCATCATAACCTATCCTTGGAACCCCTGGTGTAACGATCCGCTGACTTTTGGCTTCCGCTGCCTGGTGCCTTCTTTGCACTGGTGTTCAGTTGCCAGCCCTGCTAGTCATGAGTCGATTGTTCGAGGCAAGGTGGGGCGAGCAGGCTGCACGTCTTTTTCGTTCCTCAGTTTTTTGCATGCTGGCAAGGTACTGGTCGTCAGCTGGGGTCTGACGCTGTTCGTGTCCACCCTTTATGGCGACCTTTTTGGCGAATGGGACAGCAGCGTCAGCACCTTGTCATCGGCGTCGTCGTTGACCGAAGGGTCCAAAGCTGGAGAGACTCCCAGCATGGAAGGTGGACGGCGATCTGAGCGTGAGTGGACGTGAGCATGCATCACACCATGTTTTCAATCATAGCTTTGCCTGGCAGGTGTAATGTTGATCTCCATCCTCTCATTGGCCATGGAGACTCTGCTGAGGATCCTGGCCTTGAGCGTCTTCCGTTGCAGCCTGGCGGCCGCGCGTGTGCAGCAGAGACGCAGGATGAAGGCCCAGGATGGCCCAGGAACAGCATGTTTCTCATGTTTCTGGGAAGGGCGGTGCCCGCGTGTTGATGGGTGTTGCACAAGGGTGTTGCACAGCGTCGGTCACGTGTCATTGTGATGCATGCCGCCCTCCTGCCTGGACAGGCGAGTGCGCTTTCTCTTGCTGCTGCTGTCGTGGCGGCCTGCGTTATCTATCCGCTGACCGATGTTCTCTCGAAGCATCGCTGCGGCATCCAAGCTGCGTTGGGAACATCCGACATGCTTGCTCATGGTGTGCAGGTGTGTGTGTGTGTGTGTGTGTGTGTGCGTGTGCATCAGACCTGTCGTGCCTTGACCCGAGGTTATGTCCAGCACCTCTTCATGCAGTTTTTGATGTCAGAGGCTGTTCGTGGATTGCCTTTGGCGGCAGCTGTGGCTTCCGCTCAGTATGGCCTGCTCAAGGCGTGGTTTCTTCCCGTTCGAGGGCTTGCGGTGTCCTATGCTGTCTTGAGACTGAGACCTGAGCAGTGCCTGAGACAGGTTTTTGGCCGCAGAGCACACCAACATGAGCTGGCGTTGTCACAGCTCAGCTTAGAGACCTCCTGAGCCGCGACCCAGTGCGCAGACAAAACGCGATAGTTGCCAAAGGCACACTCACAGCAGCAGCCTTGCGGCAAGCAGTGTAAACATAACATGGTTCGCGGCTTGGGCCGATGTCGCATGTGTGGCATGTTGCAGATTCCGAAGCCGAAGACAAGCTCGAGGCAACTGACTTGCTTGAACTATCTTGAACTTGCGCTTCACATTGCTGGAACTGCTGATGGATGATTTGGTGGCTCAGGTCAGCTGTGGCTGGACATGCGACAAAGCCATGCGGTCAGTCTCCAGAGCTAAGCTGTCTACTGGGAGATAGGCGTTCAGAGTGGTTAGGAGTAGGCTGTACACTAGAGTCACCAGAAGCAGTCGACGACGTGCGGATGTGTGACATGACATCTCACAATTGAGTCTGGTCATGTTAAGTAGCCGGAAGAACACAGCGGGAACCCAAGCCGAAGGTGGCATGAGTGACATGTTCTTCGTTTGAGAAAAGACGCCCCCTTGCCTCTGCAGCCATTACAAGAGATCAAAACGGGGCGCAAGGCAAAGAGCCGGAGAGCTCAGCCTTTGCCCCGAGCGGCCCGCAAAAAATCTGGCGGGCTGCCTGCGCGGGCCTTTAGAGGAAGCGAGAGTGGGACGTGCTTTAGATGTTCATGGTTCTTGCTTGTGGCTCTTCTGTGCTGGCCGAGGTAACATAGAATGTCCATCCAGAGTCAGGGGTCGAGATCCGGTGCGCAAAGCGCCCGGGGTCCCACCCCAAAGCGGATACCCCTGTCCGGCTATGGTGACGGCCTCAAGGGGGTTGTTTCCGAAGTACCCAGCTGTGGGCTCTTGCTATCTCTTGGCCTCCAGGCGCACCTCTCAGCGCAAGGCAGGATTTCTGTCGGAATTCGATGGACGAAGTAGGAGATGAAGGAGCTGGGACAGTTTGGGGACAAAGCTTGTTCCGGCATGCCAGGGGTACCTCGAGCGACAGAGTTCCAGCTTCAAAGATGATACAGCTGGGAAGTAGAAGCTTGGCAGAAGCAGTGGGAGCTAGGCTTTCGCCCGGATGCTCTCGATGCAGTTTCCGTTCGGAAGTGTGATGGCAAGGTACCCTGGCCCCGGCATCTTCATCCTCCTTGAAGCGAAAGCCGAGCGAGGCCGCAAAACTGATGGATTGCGCATTTCTTCATATCAAGTCACTTGTAGACGTAGACGTAGAAGTACAAGGCCAATACAGGAACATGGCAGTGCACAGCTGGTGGTCTTTAAAGACGAAGGTCATCGCAGCAGCACGACAGCCTGGTGGCCTCACGGCTCCATCGCGCAGTCAGCTGGACGAAGGGTACCTGTGGGCAGGGGGTTTCCTGACAGGTGGCCGGTGTCCTTCACTCGACTGCCATGAGCAAAAATCCATCCCCAGTTTGGGTATTCGATAGTATTCGTCAAGCTGTGTGCTGTGCACTCGTGCGGCATGTCCCTGGCAGGACAACATGACATGCCGGATAGTGGCTTTTCAGGATATGGGGGACTACACCCACCAGGCTGAACATTAACGTGTAAGAAGATTTGTGCAGGAATGCTGGCCAGTGTTTGGCTGGAGGTGGATTCCGTCGTTCCCGTGGAGGAGCCGCTTTTCAAGGCAACTCCACCGGAGATTCGTTTTGCAAACTTCGCCGCTTGGAAGAGAGACGCGATCCTGCCATAGAAGTTGCGAGAGTGATCCCACAATATAGAGGTACCGTGAGGTATCGTGAGGTACCACATACATATGCCAACATACGACAATCCTCAGTATAGGAACCGCCCCCAAAACTCTCGATTTAAATAGAGCCAGTGAGAGCATTGAGCCTCAGGAAAGCTTGCAGAACCTGGATGCCACACTCTGCTTACGAAACCAGGACAACGTGGCCAGAAGAGCCTCCCGCCTGGCAATATTAACATCTGTTCCATGGTGCACGTGCAGACGTTGTGTGGTCGCGACCACCTAAGGTCAAGATCCTGCAGCCAGGCTGCATCAAAGACCTTTGCAGATCATGGCAGGTCTGAGCGTTGTGTGTGGCCTTGCAGATCTGGTAGCCCAAATAGCTTGCGAACCAAAATTACAAAGAGGGAGCAAACAAATTGAAGTGAAGGGGGGGGACCGTTGACGCGTTCCGTGGCCCGAGGCAGCCAGATAGCACGTTCTTCAAGGTTTTGCCTGGCAAAGGCCGCAAAATCAATGGAGACGGCGACAACAAAGCCGCTTGGCATGAACCATCAGCCCTGATGAGAAGCACGCTCCTTTGTTCAAGTTGCTTCTGATGCGCTTGCCAATAGGTCGCTCCTGGGATGGAGGTTTCCTACATAGCACCTATGCCTGCATACATTGCGGTACAGAGTAGTGTCTTGTAGCAAGAGGCACTTGAAGATGCTCTGCTTGACTGCGCCACATCACAGTTGCATGAGAGGTACGCTTCACCCCGGATCAGCAGGTGGGCACATTCTGGCTTTGACAGTAGAGCTTTGAGCGATGCCCCGCACTTGTAAAGGTAGAGGATTACTCTTACGACCTGGTCGTTGTGACAGAGCTGCTTGTCTGCACCGGATGCATGTAGAGAGTATGGCATAGTACCCCCCCCCCCCCCCCCCAAAGCCCAAGCCCAGTCAAGTTCCAACCCAAGTGTCATGGAGGGTGCGAGATGTGTGATTGCAAGCCGAGTCGGGCCTCAAGATCCCTCAACAGCTCGTACATGCTTGAAGACATGGTAAGTTAGAAGGCGGGAGCGCTTCATCGTGCCCATTCGCGCGACGGGTGGCAGCGCGCTGCTCGACATGCCTGACGAGCTGGACTTCGGCATGTCGCCGGTAAAGTTCGAGTCTCCCAAGACGATCATGGCCGCAAGCCCAGGGAGCCCGAGAGCGGGCAACATGGGAAGAACCAACAACATGGGCTTGCAGATCACTGCCGACCTGGATTCGAAGCTAAGGTCCGGAATGTCGGTGAAAAGGCCACCAAGTTCTTGCTGAAGGTGGACGCTGTGAGCGCAAGAGCCGTTTTAGCGGATCAGTTGACCTCATTGGACACTGGCTGAAGCCTCGGGCATCCCGAGCCCTGCCAAAGTCTTGCAGGTGCCTCCGCCATTCAGCACATCAATACAGGATGGATACTTGGAGGTCGGTGAACTCATGCAGGCAGGTTGCGAAACGGATGTCGAGTCTTAGGGAAGCTGTTCTGTCAGTTCTGCTGCCTTCCGTTCCGCATGATGTCGACAGGTGGACGTCGTGTTCAGGCCTGACAAGGCTGAGCAGTACGAGCCCAGCACTTACAAGCACTCACAAGTGATCTTTTCCATGTCTGAGGTGCAAGCAATGCCCTGCATGCTTAGGCGAGACTTGCTCATTGTTTACGGTGATGGAATTGAAGCATATGTGGCCCTCAAGGGAAAAGCGGAGAAGCTTGTTTGGAAATTATGTTGTGAGAGTGTAATGAATTGGCGTTAGGACTTGCGCATGCAAAACAACCCTGCAGGAACGTCTCTGTGACATTCTCGGCCGCCTCACTGCATCCGGAGCCTATACAGCTTCACCAGCCGATTCTGCTCCGCAGCCTTGCCAAGGCCAACCAGCTTCAGATGGAAGACACCTTCATTGTGCTTCTGCTGCATTTTATCAAGGAGGAAGGGCGCGGAGGGGTCGGAGAAAGTCACGCGATGGCCAAGGCACTCTCGACGCAGAAGTCAATTATCATACACAACAACTCGGAAATCCCTGTGGACTTTAGCTGGCGTGCCTTTCCTTCTATACAGGAGGACCTTCTGCATTGCCAGTGGGCTGGGCGTAGCATGTTGCAGTGGCAGATCCTGTGAAAAAAGTGGAAGATCCATGCCAGGAGATTGGGCAGAAGCTAAAGCTGCAGGTGCGAACCCTTCTGTCAGTTACCGAAGATCCCTAGCCTTGAACACGGGAATTTCCGAGAGGTCTGCCAAAAAACAGTGACAGGTCCAGCTAAAGCAAGAGGAGGGCGACGAGGCTGCGGCGCTGCAGGAGTTGAGCTCCATGGGCCCCTCGGAGAGCATCGGAGAGCATTTGTTGTCTGCGTTTCTTTTGATCTGCATTTACTCGCTTGCGTTGGCTTAAAAAACAAACTCCGTGGAATCAGCCGTGCTCACTGGTTTCTGCAAGTGCTACGGTACTCGATTTATAGTTTGCTTGACAAGTTGTGCTCTGAAAGGCGAAGACTCCGACGAGGAATCTCAGCTCTCAGAGTCCTCAGACGAGTACATGACCAAGTGCTCCTCGCCGGGCGCTCAGGAATTGGTGGTGCAGTTGCCTCGGGCAGTTTTCTCAGAAGCTTAGTTCGCAATGTTCCGTGGCATCTGCTTCTGCACCTTGTTGAATGCTTGCATCCACTTGCGTGATCTGCGTGCAGGCTAAAGGGCGTGGAGCTGGCGCACGGGGCGCTTCAGCGACGTCGCTTTGCTGTCAGATGCGACATGAGGGCCGCCACTGCTGTCAAGAGTCAGTCATTGGCGTAGTTTGGCGTATGGCGAATAGCGTGTGGATTTGTCGATTCTAGCATTCGAGGCTACAAAAACATCGCGAAGGCGATCCTTGAGGACTGGAGGGCTCGCATTGCTCACATGGCTCACATGGCTCACATGGCTCACATGGCTCACATGGCTCACGCATGCTCGGGAGGATTCTGCATTCAGGTGCTCCTTTCCTGTGCTGTAGAATAGAAGTGGGGAGAAATTAAATGTCCAGCAGCTTGTCACGAGCTTACCCGGGTGTCGAGGACCCAATGTTCTTCTATGACGAGATTTTTGCGGTTGAGCCGCTGTCCGGCCGTATTTGGGCGAAGTCCAAGGTGGCCATCACCTTCACTTTCACGCCGAAGGTTCCCGTTAGGATTTGTAGGTGAAACAGTACATATGTCACATGGCATGCGGTTTCAGCGATGCCTCCCGCCCAATATCACGACGCCAGGCAGCTCTGAATTATCAATGCTTGGCTTACTGTTCCATCGTCGGTCGCGCTGAGCGCCTTCCGCTCCTGCTAAAGGGCCCTTTGGCAACAAGGGTTTTCCTCTCGTGTGAGGTAGGTCAAGGACTTCTGCTCAGCCCGTAAGTTCAAAGCTCAAAGCAGATTCAGAGACCAGACATGCAACTCCAGGAATTGGGATCGGGCCCAAAGCTGCGTTCTCCTATGATGAGCTCGATGTTGGCGACATTTTTGTGGAGTCTGTCCACCAGTACGAGGCACGGAAGGGAACTTGGGGAGACTTCATGGGTTAATAACCGTGTTTTCAGAAATCA